TCCACTGAATCAAATATACATTTATATCTCTATTTCACCATTTCATCTAGTGTATCATAATTTTTTTGGGGGGCGGGGGGCAGAAGTTGTGCAGGAAGTGTTATTAAATAAGTGCATGCACTGAATTTTTCCATGTAGCTCCTGTAATGTACAGTAGAGGACATAAGCGATGGGCTGCCCAGTAACTACAATGGCAGTTTCTTAATGCCTACATGTCTATCCATAGCAATTATTTGAGTCAATATTTTCTCCATATTTTCTCCTCCAGCTGTCACGACAATATGTTACCGCCCGTGGAATGAGAGCGGATCATTCGACATTCCAGTGAACCGGTAGGTCTGAGGTGAATATTTATCTGAGGAAGCCGCGATATAAAGTCTCACCTAAGGAGGCAGGAAATGGACAGGATATTGAATTCTAAAAGATTATGTAACACTTCTGCAGGTAGCAAATGTTAAGAGTAAGCAGAATTCTTCGCCTGGGGTCACATTAAGTGATGGGGATTCAACACATGTGGCTAATAATTGGAGACAGACGGGAAAGCCATTTCAGGAGATCATAGCACACCGTCCAGCTGGGTGATTTGGGGGAACAAACAGAAAAGCCTAATTTAATTGAAATTTAGGGCAGTTTTGTTAACAAAAGCAGTTTTGTAACTACTTTTGTTAGTTTTCTCCCGGATAAAGGGACATGTTGTGTGATCATGAGCTGAAAACAGCATGAGTGAGTGTGTGTTTGTGTGTCAGTGCAGCGCTAATAGGAGTCAGGAGACCCTGTTTGGCTCCCAGCACTGAACACTTATCAGGAGCTATTGGATATTACATCGTGTTCTGTACCTGAGGGCTGCAGGATACAAGTCAGGCTTGCAAAAACAAGCATACACACACACAAACCCGACTACAAGCAAGGAATGCAGTACTCTTATTCAAGGATTTACACATGCCATTTCTGTTTCACTTGTACTCAGCACCAAAAACAAATCCCTCTCTCCATGTTTTGCAGATAAACACACCAATAAACGCCCAGCACCTCCAGCTGTGGCCAACTGGGTGGCTGAGATCAGAAGCAGAGATATCAGTGTAAAGCCTGATGAACTCTTCACTAGACCATAATTACGTCCAATTCTCTTAGATCACTGCTCATGAAAGTTTGCACGTTCCTGTTACAGGAGAAGTGCCTAACCACCTAACATTAATACTAAGGTTGCATTAATCTAAATTTTTGCGCTATAATGTTTTGAATTCCATTATTTATATATCTCATTATTTCACCGCAAGTGTTCAAGTCCATAAAAAGTTTGGCGCTGTCTGTTTTATGATCTCGTTCAGCTCTCTGTTTACACAGCAGGAGCATTTATGATGAAATCTGTGATAACAAACTGAGTTTATCTTTAAATGAATAGCCCTAAATTTACCAACAAACAATGATGTTATTTCACAGGGTCACGTTAAGGCCATCAATTCCAACACTGCTGCTGAGAAAATGTGTTTTCTCATGTCAAAATAGCACCGAGTGCCACACCACCCATGATGCCTACAGCCTAGGAGTGACTCACTTTTGGAGCTAGCCTTGAGTGGCCATTAGATGAACTACAGGCCAAGAGGTTGATACCAGGCTGAGCTTCTGTCATCAGGAGAGGTCAAATTTATCCACAACACTATGTTTTTCCTCATTCTGATATTTGGCAATAACAGTAATTATCTGAAGCTCCTGACTTGCATCTCCATGATTACAGTCATTGCCCAATTAGATAACTGCATGAGAAAGCTGTAGTACAGGAGATCCCAGTAAAGTGATCCATGGCTATCTGTTGTTGTTATTAGACCCGTAGTCGTATTTGTTGTCCCACAAAGAAGCTTTCAGTTCTTCAGCTGAAGTAAAAGACTGCGCCAAAATGGAACTGTTAATTACAGTTTGCTGCAAATGTGTTAACCGGTTTGTTTTGCAGGTGAACAAAGTTAGTCTGTTGTGCCCTCGGTGGCTGCCTCCAAGTGTTATCTAACCACAACAACTGGATCCGACAGTTGGCCGGAGGAAACAAGGGGAGTAGTGTTTGTCTCAGAGGGGAGACTGAGGGGAAATTCTGCTCTCTGTTTAAATCACTGTCATGCTGTAATTCTCTGCAACAGAGGGCAACGCTGTATGTTGTACTTGTGTTTGAATAACATGCAATTTTTCCTTCCTATATGGTGGTTCATGTTTGTGCGATTGCGTGCATGTGAGGGCAACACACACACACACACACACACACACACGTCATTATTCTGATATTGCACACCAGTTGTTTTTTCCCCCTCATTCTCCATTATGCCGCCTCTATCCATGAATAAAGGGTTTGTTTGGATTTTCCTCCGGCTTTCCGCTGTTCAGTGTTACCCTGGTTTTGCTCTCTGTTTCCTGGCCTGGATACACAGCTGATTTCTTTTTTCTTTCTTTTTTTTTTTTTACCTTAGCTTCACAAAGGAAATTATTTCTGACTAGCAGAGATGGGGGAGGAATGACAAACTAATATATCCTACATCTGAACCCGCACAGTGCAAACCATTTGAGTTCCAATATGCCCAGGCTGCTGCCAACACTTTGTTTCTACTGCCTTCTACAACTGTACAGTGAATCCTTATAAATGTCTGTGGCTATTCTGTGAGATATTCAATAACTGATACGGAGGATTAGAAAACTTTTATGTGGGTTCACATTCTGCCAGAAATTCAAATCTTTCCTTACTACGCAGGGTATTTAAAGTGCAAAGCATACTAAGGTTATATCAGAGATCTTATATGATATCATAGCACAGCAACTGCTGTAGATCTACCAAATAAGAATACAGGCAGGTCTCAGATCTACATGTACTATCTCTACCACCCATATCTTTACAGTTTTACTCAGATGGCATTTTAAATATATGTCACTGGGTGTTTCCTTTCCTTTCCTAGTTCTTCAAGGTTCTTGAAGAACAGTCAAAGCTTATTGAATGTCCGCTGCCTTTTGTTCTGCTCTCTGTCAAGATGATCCCACAGTGTTCCAATACCTTTGAGATCTGAGCTGTGGGGAGCCCGGTTGAGCAACGATAGTGTTAATCCTTTGTTTTTTCTATTCAGATATGCTTTTTACTGCATTGGCAGTGTGTTTGGAATCGTCGTCATGCTGAAAAATGAAGCTTAAAATCTGATTGTCATAATTTCATCAGTTTTGAAAAAATTTCAAATGCCACTGACTTAAATGCAGCCCCAAACCACGACACAGACTCCACCATGTTTTACAGATGGCTGTACACACTCACTGTGGTACCTCTCTCCTTACATCCTCCGTACTCCGACAAACCAAAAATTTCACATTTGTATTTAGCACTCTGTCAAACCTGCTGCTTTCATTTTGTTCTTGTGTAGTTTGGCTTCCTTTCCTTAAGAATGGCTTCTTGATGGCCCTCAACTCTGAATTTATACACATGTACCAGGAATCATATGTACATCTCATTTTCTGTATCACTTTTTCAAATGTTCTTATCTAATACTTTCCCAGCTTAGTGAACACACTTATGAGCATGATTTTATTCTTCTGATGATAATTATGTGGAAGTTTCAGTAAAATCTGACCAATACTGTAGAAGTATTGATTCTTGTGAAAAAAATGGAAATGTCCCCATAAAAAGAGAGATGTAACCTTGACCAAGAGCACAGTTTGGATGAAGACCCATTAGGGGATCAGTGTGTGCAAGTTTTATTGTGAACTGTGACAGAACAGACAGATGACAGATGCTTTGCCATGGCATCAGCTCATCGGTCCTTCAACTGGATGAAATAAGAAGGGGGAATTACACTGATGATGTGGGCAAACCAGGTTATTCCCCGATTATCACCCTTCAGGACCGAAGCGACAGACGCCACAGATCTAGTTCATGACTGGCCCTTACTAATGTGAACACAAAAATAAACCTAATGATAACACATACACATGTATTGTATATGCCTCTTCCATCTATAGATAGATGAATAAATAAAGACTTTAATATCGTTTTATAAGGGTTTAACAATAATAACAAAAATAAAAAGATTACAACTTCTTCTGCTATTAATTTAACTGGCATTTCATTTCATTTCGTTGTAAACTGTCGCAGTGCTCCAGTTTCCATCCTCGCCTTGACATCCCTCTGAACACACCACAGTTCCACTACTCTTCTTTTTCCTAGTAACTCAATACAAGCAGAGACTTTTACGCACGCAGGTGCGCACAGACACACACGCGTACACACACAAAGCAGTGTGTTTACCCCTTTTAAAAAAGGTTGTCAGAGCATATCACATCAGCAAAGTCAAGCTTGCATGCTCAGGAAAGTGGAAGGAGTGGTCTAGTTCTGCTTCCAACACCAAACGCTCGGCCAACAAAACAAATCAGCAAAGAAAAAAAAAAAAAAAGAAAAAGAAAAAAAAAAAAACACAGGAGAGGGTTTACAACTATTTATTCAATTTGCAATTGAGGGATGGAGATGGGGCTGAATTCTCCTAAAGCACAATGTAATTTCCTGGTGGATGTTTGACCACAAAGTGAGACCAGAGTTGTTGTGGAGAGACACGCTAAAGGGTATGAAGAAAACGAGCGTTGTTTTGGCGAGGGGAAAGGGGTGAAAGAGAGGGCTAACCATTTTTTTTCTTGTGGTCTACGGTATGAGGACAATTCATAGGCAGCATGAGGAAATTGCTTGCTTGCGTATAGAGAATTAGGGCCTTAAAAAGGTTGTGGCATGTAACCACAACCTGCAGAAAATATTGTGCAATCTATAGCTGGCATAATATGTCCATATGTTTACGTCAATGCAGAAATGAGAAGCTGGAAAAGAGGTGGCCTGTGTGGCTGAGCTGATTGAAAATTGTTAAAAGGCTGCCTTCAATAACATTCACTGCTGACAGTTTAGCCCTAAACTGTGGGTTCAGGCAGCCAGTCAATATAGGGCCAGCCAAAGATCAGAGCCCATGTATGAAAAAGGACGGCAGAGGCCAACTCACCTTCTTCTTGCTGCAGTAGATCTGCCATTTCTTCTCATCGGGCAGAGCAAACATGGCCTCCCGGTTCTTGTCTGTCAAATCCAGCTCATCCTGCAAAAAACAACAACAAAAAAAGAAGGAAAAAAGTTTGTTTTTGTTTTGAATTCAAAATTCAAATTCAAATTTTATTTGTCACGTACACAGTCATACACAGTACAATATGTAGTGAAATGCTTGGACAACTGCTCGTGACCTAAAGAAAACAAAAAAGGAAAAGGCTATGAATAAGATAGGAAATAAATATGAAAAATTAAAAAGGGTAAATTTAACTAGGAAGGAATAAAATATAAATTAAGGTTAAAAATGAAATAACTGTACAACACAAATTAGAATGAAGGGTAAATTTAACTGGGAAAAAATAAGATAAAATATATAAATTAAAGTTGAAAATAAAATAACTGTACAACAAAATACACAATATAGAACTATATAAGAATGTATGAAGAAATATAAATAAATATATACACAATAACAGCAGCTGTACAAGTATTAACTGGAAATGAAGAATATAGTGACCAGTGTTGTGCAATCCACATTATGTCTTGTGCAGTGCAAATATGCTTGGAATAAAATATCCCTGGAATGAATTTGATGCTACTGATATATTTCAGTAACAGGGACAGTGGCATGCTTCCCACTACATGTCATCACATCTTCTTATAATAATACCCTATGAGTGGGAACTGAGGAGACTATTTGCTGAAGTTCTTTAGCCAAATTTCCCCCCATTCAATTTGACATAGTGTTTCAGCTGCTTCATTTTATCACAGTTTTTATCACAGCCAGACTTTTTACAAGCAAGTATGGATTGCAAGTATTTTAGAACTCGAACTCCTTTAATGAAGAGCCATGCATGTTGGAATACAAGCGGAAGGTTTTGTATGGTCTTGCTGAAATCCAGAATGTCTCAAATACACAATGTCATCCCTGAAAAACACATCACCTGGATGGGCAGCCATGTAGCATTAATGGTGCCTTCGCACATTTACAAGTTACTCATTCAATGTGCATAAACACCCACCCCCACCCCATACAATCATAATGTACACTTTGAATTGTAAGCTAATAACAAGGCTCTGCTTCTCTTCAGCATCTTTGACTGTCAAATAGAATTTAAGATTCTGGTTGGTCAGACTAGAGGACAGTTTTCCACTTGGCCTCCACCTCAAATGAGCTCAGGCCCGAAACGAGCCTCAGATGAGCTTCCATGCTAGAGGTTGACATTGCATTTGCGGATGTAGTGATAAAATGTGATGGTTTGCAATACAGACATTTCTAGCCTTTATTGCCTTGTTGTTTTGTTCTAGTATCACATTTAAAAATACTTTCCAAAATATGGCAGCAATTTTTTTTCCCCCAGTGTCAACATTTTATGTTCTTGAAGAAAACAAACAAGAACTTCCAAATGATTTGCAAACTATTGCGTTCCTTTTTTTTTTAACATTCACCACAGCACACATCCCAACATTTCAAAACAGGCTCGTGTTTTTATTGCAGCTCATCAAGAATAAATGTGCAGAAAAACAGTGATTAAGAATAAACAAACATAACAGCCCAGTAGCATTTAAAGACTGACATAATATAATCAACCCGTCCCTCAGGACACATTCCTAGAAGCCCTGTTGTTTCCTTATCCCTATAACAACACAGACATTTAAGCAATGAGTCGAGTTTACACAGCCACATTTAAATCTCCTTCCCACAGACAAGTGTTTTAATATTCATCCTGCTGCTCTACTCAATTCTTCAGCTCAGTACAAGGAGCCTCCTGCACCTTTTGAAATGCATATGAGCCCAGGAAATGAGTCTCTGTGTGCCAGGGGAGGAAAAGTTTAAAGGAAGGGGAGTCAGATGAAGGAAGGACGCAGAAAGAGAAATGCATTCGGGTTAGAGACCCAGAGGCTATGTGGCTCTGGAAATGGGCTGGCACAGAAGAGACAACTAGAGGCTACATCACCAGGGCTTTGTGCTCCGGCTCAGGCTAATCTCACCATAATAGTTTTGCTACGATGACGTAAACGAGAAGAGGGCGAGCCTCCTGGGGCCCCTGGAATGAAGATGACCACCAGTGGCAGAGGTGGGGCCTCTTTAAAGCCGACCAGCAGATTCGCAGGGTTTGCTTTCATCGCTTTTCAGCAGGATGGGCTGAGGTGGCCCGCATTCCAAGAATCGGACACTATGAAGGATGACATCATCTCTCGTCCTTTCAATGGGCTAACCAGCAGTAGCATTATTGTGGGTTTGAGAGGAAAAAAAAAAAAAAAAAAAAGGGAAAATCCGATGGGTGTGAATTTCAAGAGGGTCTATTACAAGTAGAAACCACAATGAAGCCTTAGAATCTTTAGTTCAAGTGGCTTTCATCTCAGCAGCATGATTCACACCCAGAGCTCATCATCGTGGGTCTACAGGGCCGGCTGTATCAAGGGGGAAGCTCACCCCAAAATCTGATTTACATATTTGTCCTCTGGTCTGTAGCACACTCTACCCGTATGTATTTTTTATTTTATTTTATTTATTTATTTGGTGATTAATTGCACCTACCTTGTGAACAATGTCACAGTGACAAGTGTGGAGACCTGACAGTCACATTCACACTTACGAGCAATTTTGAATCACCAAAATGCACGTCCTTGTGCCGTGCAAGTACAGGGAGACTACAAACTCTAAACAGAAAGAGCCCCAGCTAAAATCAAAAAACATAACTCACATTTAAATAAATGGCTTAATTTGCTATTACATACATTAAAAAGAAAAAATATTTTTTCATTTGTAAAATGGGACATAAATTGATATTTCTGTCACCATTTGGGTCTTTATTCGTTAAGCAGACACAAAAACAAGTGTGGAAAGGAAGAAACCATGGGCTACAAGAAAGCAGCTCATTCTGGCCTGCCGCCTGCTCGCCGGGTCAAAGCCCTGCTGTCCAAGCTGTTGGTCTTTGGAGGAGCTAATGCAGAGAGCCGGTGGGGAAATCATGAGAATGAGACCCGTGGATTTGAACCAGATGGCAGTTGAGCCTGTCTCAGTTCATAGCTGACCTCTGTGCTATTTTGTGTTCTCCGTATAGACTCCTCAGGCCTCTCAGTTTAAGGTCTTATATGGAAAGAAATTATGTGAGAAGAGCATAGATTACAATAGTATTCCATTTAAATATAATTCATTGATTACATAAGACTTTATGAACAGGATAATGTTGACTTCTCAGGCTCTGCCGGTGCTGTTCTGCGTCAGAATCGAGGAAAGGGGAAAAAGAGATGAAGTTGAAAATGAGGACATCGACTGGGTGTAGGAATGTTCATGTCATGCCAGCTGTAAGGAGGACTTTTCACTTTCCAGTTATGCAATTTCCCATCGTGTTCCCCCCCTCCATCACCTTTAAAATGTGCTCCAATACCACATCCACATCACATGGCATCTCCTGACCAGTACAACACCCAAAGAGCATGCGGTCCCTTTCTCATTTTTCCAAAACAAAACCAAACTACTTTCCACTTCATGAAGTACCCCAGTCTTCTCACTCCAGCAAGCTTCAGTTGGAAATTCAACAAAAGCAAAGCTAATATTGTTACACCTGCTGTCTGAGAGGGGAAAATACATACCTAAGGCCTCCCAAGCCCTTCTTTCATATTTCACCCCGAGCTCCCCATCTAATAATATGACAAATGTATTTATTTTTTAAGAAGTGCTACAGTTGCAATCGCCGAGTGTCATGCAGGCATGCAGACAGATAGCTCTGTCACTCAATTTCCTGTTTCTAAAGACTGTTGGGCTTCTCAAATGTCCTGAGATAAAATGAAAAGGAGTGGAAGTTCCCAGACAGTTATTCAAAGAAAAACTATTTCCATATTCAGCATACAAATGAAGAAAACTGGATTTTTAAGAGCTGCATAATGAGAACAAATATAGAAACAAGGCATAAAAAGGACAGAGTAAGGTGCAATGAACGAACAGTTCCTTCATCATAGATGTCAGGTGACATGACATCTGGATCACAGCTGCTGTGACCTATAAGTTAGCGAAGTCTCAAACTAACAGTTTTTGCTATCATCATCATGGTGCTTTGAATCCAGATACCATGACAGCAGGGCAGAACTGACTGTGTTATCGAGGGACACTGAATGCTCACCCTGTGTAGCCTCCTTCATCCTTTAAAGGTGACCATGGGACAAAATGCAAGAGTGCAGGTTTTCAGGCACTTCCACACTTTTCAGGCCTGGAAAGAGCGCCTGAACCGTGCCTATGTGTTGCAGTGATCTACTCTGTAGCCTGGTCTTTTTATGCAAGCTGTGCATTAGCTTTTAGCTAACTAATCATAGCTAATGAAGGCAATGACCTTTGCTTTAATAATCATTTCATTTCCCCAGTGGCAGCATTATTTAAACATCCAGATATGAATATGAATATAGCAGTATTTTATTTTATGACATCAGTATGAGAGGAGAGAGTCTCCAGAAAATATGTAAAATGTAATGTGTAAAATGGATGTAAAGTAGATTTCAGTGTTTTATGGGGATTGCAAACACCCAAACTTCCTGTCTACTCAGTTTCCATGCCAGTCATGTAATGGAACAAATGAACTTAATTAAAAGGTATTATTTAAATCGTCCTAACCTTAAACTGACAACAACACAACTATTCCTTTAAAAAAAAAAAAAAAACAGATTAGGAGTGATGCACAAACTTAAGCGAACCTAAAGCAAATAGATGCAGAAGGTTTTCCAATACTGCCAGCAATCGTAATGATGAAGATATCTTTAAACATTTGGCACATATTGAGACTTCTACAGCAACATAAAATTAATTTGTATGAAATAACACACGTCAGATGATTCAAACACGTCTGCAGGGACTTTGAATTATTTATCTCCACCATATGGGAAGAATGTAAAATAGGACAGAGGGATGAGTCATGCGATTGAAGTCTAAGCTGTGTATGAAACTATGAAAGCCGTACCGCTGCAGGAGAACATTAAGTGAAGAGAAATTAAGTGTGGGAGTGGAGGCAGAGGGTACAGACCAGAGAATGGGAGCGAAAAAGGTAAGGAAAGACA